CAGCGCTTCGCAGCAGTGCAATGGGATGCAGCGCGCAAAGGACGGGAAGCTTATGCGCCACATCCCAAAGTGCTTGCAGTTCGATGCTCGGCGTACAAAGGCAGAACACCAGACTGCCCCTCTGAAACCTCCCCAGACCCCGCGCAGCCCGCGTCAACCAAGTTCCGCTCTTTCCTGCCTGTTTTCCCGGTTCGGCCACTTCAGGCCTCATCGCTGCCAGAACACATGCCGTGTTGGTGCGCAGCCGCTCACGCCCCACACCCCCCGCTGGCCCTAGGTGCCGCTGCGGGCGGACAGGCTCTCTACTGGATCTGGCTCAGCAACGGCTCACCGAGTGCTCACTGAACGAAAGAATCAGCGACAAACATTTCGGCTCCTGTTTATGGAGCACCTACTACGTGCAGGCGTTGTGATCGGCATTTCCCGTGCATTGTCCCACTTCTTTTTCTGAAATGATCTTACACAGTTAACACTATCATTATCCCCTTTGTACAGATGAGAAACTGGAGCTCAGAGAAGGGGTCACCTACCCAAGCCCCTGCATCTGGTAAAGACGGGAGATGGGATTTGAATCCAGTTTCTGTTCATTTCAAGATGCGTGCGCGGGCGTGTGCGTGTGTGTGCGCGCGTGTGCGTGTGTGTGTGTGTGTGTGCGTGTGTGCGTGTGTGTGTGCGTGTGTGTACCTACCTATGACGATATAGATAAGTAGGAAGAAATCGAGGAAGGCTAAAATGGATGGTTGACGTGGCTGATGACGAGTGGGGTGGTGGGTGATTTTTTTCTGTTTTGTATACCATTTCTTTCCATGTTAGGGTAGGTGGGCTGAAAAGGGAGGATCCGGCGAAGATTCCACGCCTGCCTGGGGTTGAGCCCAGGTAGCCTGAATATCTTAAAGGGAAGCAAACCATGTCGGCCCGTTAACGTCTTTCCTGTTTACCTGCCAGGGCCCAGGGGACATTCCGTTCCAGGGAGATGTCATGTGCAAGACCTGGGCCTGTGACTCGTGCCAGGACCAGAGAGAGTGTGTTGCAATGAGGCGTGCGGCTGAGCGAGCCCAGCCCACCGGGGTGCCAGTGTGCTCACCACTCCACACTGCTCTCCCTTTCTTTGCTGGGAGCTGCACAGATGATGTTTCAGGGTGCTTCTCATCATAGGGGGGCGGCTCCGGGACACATGGATGATGGGAGAATATGCTGTGGCCACCGTATCCACGGAAGCCCTAAGATTACAAAGCCGATGTTATCTCTAACCGAGTGGAGTTGCTAGAAGTCAAAGAAGATATTCATCACCCTGTTTTAAGCTTGCGTCTCATTACTGTACCACTCCGCCTGTGTGTTATGAGTTAATGTTCTAATAAATCCTGTAATTATCTTGTGAATAGCATAATTATATCGCTTTGTAATTTTTTTTCAGTGTTGACAGCATGAATTTGGTAAATGCACATGTTTAAAATATATTTCAATTTTCCTAAATTTTGTTTCAGCATGTCTTCATTTTTAAAAACATATATGCCAAAAAAAACTGAAAAATAAGTGAAGTGGCTCAGGCGTCATTTATTCCCTGAGAAATCCAGACCCCTGGTGTCTGAGCTTATGTGAGAGAGAGACAGACTCAGCTCTTGGCACATTTTGGAGTGTTCATTATGCTTGCAAATGGAACCTATTCTTCAAAACAAAATAAAATAAATAGGGAAAAAGAAGAAAAGAAGATGAAAAGAAGTAAATTCTAGAGTTTTGAAGGGGCAGCAGCATGAAACTTCCATTTCAAAATGGAGACCTATTTCACTCATTTTTATGTTTCTTCCTTAAACACTGCTAAATGACAAAGGAATAAAAAAAGGTGTAAGTTTGCAAAGACAATGATAAAAAGAACTTAGATATGTCAATTTTATGAAAAAGGAAAGTGGATGGGTGAATAGTAACCAATTTTGCCAACTAGAGAAAGTTTAACCTAAGCCAAAGAGAGAGAAGCCGGATAATACCAGAGCATCTCGGGAAATGGAGACACCAGGCATCTGGGAGGTAGGTGAGGAAGAGAGCTGAAATAGAAGGAATGGTTGAAGAAGCAGAAGATGGCAAATACCACCACCATCATCATCATCACCATCACCATCATTGTCATCACCACCACCACTATCACCACCATCACCATCACCACCACCACCATCATCATCACTATCATATCATTACTATCATCACCATCATCACCATCACCATCACCATCATCACCACCACCACCACCACCCCCATCATCATCACCCTCACCATCATTATCACCCTCACCATCATCATCATTTACTACCACTATCATCATCATCATCATCATCATCACCACCATCACTACTATCATCACCGCCACCACCATCACCATCCACTACCATTATCTCCACCACCACCACTGCCTGCCTCATCCAGTGAATCCCTCCATTATCACAGCAAAAGCCTGGATGCTTTTCTTGGGGGGAGATGAACTGCAGAGACACTATCATGGCTCAGGATAGGAGCAAAAGGCCTTATTTTACAGGGGTCTTAAGTGAAAGGCTCCATCTTGGACACGGAGACCCTCACTGGGTGCTGGGGAACCGCCCCAGGCAGGAGCCTGGAGGACTCCCTTCTGAGGAAGCTGAGCAGCCTGAGAGCAAAACCCATTCGCCACTTTCACACAAGCCTCACGAATGAGCTTCCAAACAGCTTTTCAGCTCTTACAGATGAACACCAGCCAAAGCCACTCAAAGCCTAACAAACCACACAGAAAACGGGACCCAACAGTGGCAGGCGTGACATCGGGGGCAGAAGAAACAGCCAAGGAACCAGGAGAACCACAAGAAGACCCTCAGAAAGAGAGGAGTGGCTTTTCACTCCTCAGAGAAGAGTCTACAAAAGTGAGAGTTCAGAGAATAAGAAAGAGCCCTGTGAAAAAAGAGAATAAAATAGAGCGTGGAGGTGGGAGCGGGGAGGCCTTTGCCCCCCAGAGTCTGGGCAGAGTAACACACCAGACAGCAAGGAGCTTTGGCTGCGGGGCACCCCATTCCCTCCATCTGCAGCAAAGACATTTGAAAGCCCGTGGGTTTAGCTGCAGGTCGGAGCCAAACGGCATTTGTTGTGCATGGAATCTCCATAGCAATCCTAGGTATGAATTATTCTCCTCATCTATACACTGACTTGCAAAAAGATACAGCATGAGGTCAAAACATACAAAACAGCCGGTTCTGTAGGCCACTGCCATTTCCATGTCAAAACTACTAGACGGTCTGAGGTCACCCTGCAACTTTTTCTGGCCAAAAGTATAAAATGTTAGAAGATAAGACGTCACGACCTGGGGTCTCAATGTGCTGTTTCTTTGGTGTGTGTTTTTCACATGCCATGCTTGAATCTAACAGGGGAAAAGACGCATATGTTTGTCGTGGTCACGAAAGCCCTCTTTCTAGATCGGCTGTGTGTGTGTGTGTGGTTTAGGTGAAGAAATGGCATGACTGCATGTCCCAAGGTCACGAGGGGACGGAGCGTGCATGCTGGTGGGAGTGTGGGCTGGAAACAGAAAGCCATTCTGGATCTTTCCGTCAGCTGACTGGACAGCGGTGCAGCCCTCGGGAGGAAAGCGCGGCCCTCGGGCTCCGGGCACCGAGGAGGGAGCTCCATCGCTTCTGCCTGCCCTTGTGAACCGCCCGCGGGACGCCTCCCTGCCTGGCGTCTTGGATGAAACCTTTGAGTGGTGAAAACTCAGCTATAATGTCTTTGGTCACTCATCTTATATAACAACAAATCCTCCCCAGACGATTATAGTCCCGGGAATAGTCTCATTTCCATAATTAAAATTTCCAGCCTGGGAAATGGAAGGAACGCCGTATTCTATTTAAAGTGAAGGTGTGTCTCCTCCCCTCATGGGGCCTGCTTGGGGTTGGGCGGCCACTGCCTGGGCCTCCTCTGGCTCCTCCAGGTGAAGTGGGGGGTGGGCTGGGCGGGGCCAGTCCCTGCACCCTGGTTCCTGGCTCGGTTTCCTCTGGCTCTGAGGCTGAAGCCTGGCCCTTTCTCTCTGGTTGCTCAGTGGGTTCTGGAAACCCTTATCCCGGGGGTGGAGCGGGGAGTGGGGGGCTCCCATCTGCAGTTCTGTGGGGCAGGGAGGGATATTCTCTCGGGCTGTCACCTCTTACCCACTCACCACTGGGGTCATGGCAGCCGGTGGCCTTTCTGTGAAAAAGCCTACAGCCAGCTGCTCTGCATGCTCACGCGCCC